GGTCTGCCATGGAGAATGGGATATGGACCCTAATTGTGCCTGCTTCTCCATTAGCAACTTCTCTAAGAGGATGCATCCCATACTTAGATGGAGCTCCTAGGAAATAGGGAGTCCCGCTCCTGGTATGTCCAGCGGGGCTAAGGGCAGAGGGTTCTTGGGGTTTATAAGGAGGAGGGATAGTATCAGAGCCAGTGTCCTCTTCTTTGGGACTGTCTGGCAGTTCCGCCAACATCCCGGGTTTGTTGAGAGGAATCAGCCTGTTTAGACAGTCATCATCCAATATATCCTGAGGGGGGAGGGGCCCACTAACCTGGCTGAGGGTTAGACACATTCTACAAGAGGCCCGCAGGTTCGGATCCTGATTTATGGCCATAAAGTCTTGGACATATGGAACTTCAGTCCATTTGCCCTTTTTCCTGCAGAAGAGGTCTAACTGATAGATTGACCTAAAATTTAGAGTCCCATTAATGGGCCACTTTTCTCCATCTCCTAAGGAGTACTGAGGCCATTCAGTATTACAGAAGAAGATCATCTTTTTCTTTCTTAAAACTTGCAGTTTGAATTGATTCCAGTGGGTTAAGAGGCATGCCAAGGGAGAGTCCTTGGGCACAGAAGAGGAGGATCCCATGTTCCTAAAAAGTAAAGAAGGTCCATTACCAAAATTCCCCCGACTCCTGGGTGGCTTCCCACACAGGATATGTCAGAGGTTCCAGGTGTCAAAAGCGACCGGAGGCGTCCCTCAACAAAATTGCTATTGATCACCATTCTACCTTCCCGTGAAGGCATTCCTGCCGTTAAAGGCCCTGGAGGGGTGCCGGCGTCCTTCCTCTTCCCCATCGCATCCTAGGCTACAGATGGGTGCCTGGTGAATGGACTAGGAAACTGTGCCATCCTACATTCGAAAGGCTATGCTACTGCCCTGCCATTTTTAACCCGCAGAAATACTAGAAAAGTTTGGCAAAGGGAAATTACCCAATTTTGTAGCTTTAAGCAGTTTGTAGAAGACACTGACAAGAAACAGTAAAGACTGAAATCCATCATGGTCTAAGCGACATTCCAACACATGTGGTCCTGACAGCCAACTTCCCCAGGAAACGGTCCCCGTTTGCATTTTAATTCAATCGGGTACTGGTTTCGGCCGGCTCCCAGTGGAGGTCTCGGCCAGAAGTGGCTAGACCAGGGTTGTGGAGGGGATCACATTAGATCAATCAGGAGGAAACCTCACCCGGGAGTCTTAAGATTGGCAGCTGTCCTGGTGACTTAGGTGGCTGTCCCGTGACCAAGAGAGACAACTTATATAAGAACAGGAAGAGAGAGAGGGCATCAAGTTTCTGGGTCTTATTGCCATTCCGGCCGGGGCACTAACTTACAGCCAAAAGGCAGCCGCTCTCCTCCCCGTAGAGTAGCCACGGGCTAGAGGATTACAGCCTGAGCAATTGACATGCAAGTGTTCCAATAAGACCATGCTCCTTGAAAAGCCCCTGAAATGAGAGAGTAAAGGAAGAAGAGAGAAAATACTCACCACTTTTGCACCAAAGCTCAGAGTCCAAATGTAAAGACTCACAGTCCCTTCGTGGTTGCCAATATGATGAAGTCCCAGAACCGAGGTCAGGTTCGGCGGGTGAGGTTCGGAGCCGACGGCTAAGAAAGAATTCTTAAGACGTCTCTGGTGCAAAAAGGTGGTTTATTAAAGCACAGGGACAGGACCCGTGGGCAGGTGGAGATGCAGCTGCCCCGGGTTGTGAGGGATGGCAGGTTATGTACCCTGCGGTTGGGGGAAGGTGAGGGGAAGGGCGGTTTCAACGGAGTTTTCATATGCTAAAGAGCGCCTACAAGGTGCGGGGACCACTGTTGTCTTTTAGCAAGCCATTAACATCAAGATAGTTGGGAGATTCCTGTCTTGCAGGATTGTGACCTCTGCAAGTTAACTCTTTGTTTTTCTTTTAGGGCAGTCAGGGGTGCCTGAGGAACCTCACACACATTACCGAGGGGAGCGGGTGGAGAGGGGGTGCAAGGAGCCAGCTTTTGCTTTGTCTTCAGCCAGCCTCCTGCTCCCTCATCACTTACACTTGAAATCTTAATGCGTGCACTATTAGACATTTAATGCTGACAAACTTCACAAAACAAGTTTCTAAGTTCAATCATATTCTTATTTCTAACCCTGGCTGTAGTCCTCTGTTGATCACAATCATTTTGTTTCCCAGTCAGGACCGCTCCCTCCTGTTTCCATATGGTACGTGCCTGACACATGACTGGTGTCTCGTATTTGCCTCTTGTGTTTCTGTTAACCTCTGAGTTTACACATTTCTTCTAGCGTCTGGGACTCTCCTTACCAGATCACCCACTTTCATTTTGAAAACATTCTTGAAACTTTGTCTTCTGGAGTCGGCTGGTGGTGTATTTCTTCTGTGTCTGTCTGTCTGTCTGGGTGTCCCTGTATCTTGGCTGGGGACACAGTTGGAACCGGACAGTTATGGTACTTACTGCTGCACAGTGAGGGGAGTGCTGGCGCCTGCAGGCTTAGCTGGGTCCACAGAGGGGGTCTTGCCTGGCTCCGACAGTCCTTGTTTTGACACCTTCCGGTCACCTCCGCTCCCTTTCACATTCTCTTTAATCTTCCTTGATTTCAGCATGATGCNGCTCCCTTTCACATTCTCTTTAATCTTCCTTGATTTCAGCATGATGCTTCTACAGGTGGATTTACTCTTATTTATCCTGCCTGGTATCCTAGTACTTTCTCAAGTCTGGCCACTTCTTAGCTATTTTGGTCCTGAATTATCGCCAGTCTCCTCTGTTGAAATTTGACTCTGACCCCAGTTCTCCCCTCCCTGTCCCCGCTTTCCTTCCTCCCATGCCCGTCTCTCTGGGCTAGAGTCCCTGCCACTCATCTACACACATTTTCCGTTTCACCAGTGTTCTGATCCTGCATGTCTAGTATCCGATCTGACAAGTCTTAAATTTCAATGAGAATATTTTCATTTCTAAACGTTCACTCGGTTCTTTTGTAAGTCGCGATCACCTTTGTCGATAGTATCTGGTTGCTTTCTCAATCAATCCCAGGCCTTATTTTCCCAACAGCTCTCGCGTTTATTTTATCTGATGTTCTTAAGGTATCCGTGATCTGGGATTTTTAGGCATCCGTTTACTCCGTGGTTTCTTCTGCCTCCCACTTCTGTCCCCTGGGGCCGCGTAGCCCTGATTGTGAGCTCATGTTTGGCGGCATTTTTATCTGTGGGAATCCTCGGGGAGGGCGGGCCTCTAGCAAGAATGTCATCATTCTACGATGAGCCATTGGTACTGCTGACCTGTGGCCACACTGACTTAATCCAAGGACCATGTAAATTTGAACTCCGGATCTGTGTGAGGGCAGGTCTGTGGATGTGTGTTTTCAGGGAGTTATTTCTTGCTACCTGGGGGGTTAGCTGGAAGGTCGGTCCCTTTCCACCTTCTCTCTGGGTTTGGAAGCCTTCTGAGACCTCCAGTGACAGGGAGAGTTTTGTGTCCCATAAGCCCCTTTTATGCACCCTAGACCCTGTTTGAGTTCCCCTACGAGGCCACTTAAAAATGCAGCTGGAAGCGAGGGAGGTGAGCAAGCACGCCGGGGTTGGCCACGGGGCCGTCATCATATCTATCGGGTTAAACTTAACCGGAGGAACTCTGATAATGGTACTTTCAGTGAGTGGGAAACATTAATCTGGTATTCCTATCTTGTCTTATTAGGAAAAAAATAAGATGGACATGATTAGTTACTCACAGGTAAGCAGAAAGAGCTACCTTAACGCCTCAGTCCTCAGATTAATTACACTGCACACGTCAAAGCTTACACCTCGAACTGGCTGGGGAGTACTTTAATCTGTTCTCTTTATACGACTGTCTTGTCCAATGTCTGCCTAACTTATACGGTTTAAGCAACACAGAACGACAGTTTGCACAGGGAAATCATGTGGGAATCACCATTCATTCCGGACGGCGTCACAGTTGCAGTGATACTGAGAATCAAGGCAGTTCCCCTGGAATCCNTCACAGTTGCAGTGATACTGAGAATCAAGGCAGTTCCCCTGGAATCCACAAGCACATTTTTGAGCACCAGGCAGAGAACCTCCCCAGTAAGTGTGTGTCTCATTGGTTCTTCCAACCCACCAGCTCACTGGGGTTCCATCTGAAAGACAAGTATGAGAAAGGTGACACCTATTTTGCCCCCACTGCCTGCCTCCCCAGCATAGTCCTTTACTCCCCTCTGTCTAAAACACAGAGGAGCAGAGGTTAACTCCACAACAGGGTCCTTTCAAAGAGGACTTCCAAAGGTTTAAGACATATTTCCACGTCTAGACTTACGTTCTCACCATATGTTTTACTTTTATTAGAAAACGAGCAAGTCGTCCCTAACTCATTCAGGCGTGATATCTACACATTTCTCCTGAGGACTCCAATGACATCATTTATTTGGACACAACACTGAAAGAACTGTCATTTTAAAAAAAAGGAATGAACGAAAACCAGAGTAATTTGTACACTGCATCCAAAAGCTGTTTGAGAGCCTAAAATGCCATTGAAAGATGTAATATGGGACAAAATACGGATTTCTTATCTGTAGGATGAAAACACCAGTATTCTCCTGTCATGTCTTCCAAGTCTGCTGGAGGAACAAGCTTCTTGTACGGACACGCTGGCTTTGTATCTGGAAACCACAGACATGGCCTGACAAGCTTCCCTCATGCCCGAGGTGGGTCCTGGGCTCTGGACAACTGAGGCCAGTCTAGCTCAATGCTCAAATGCTCCAACAGGGCCAGAAGCCACCTCAGCTCTGCTGGGCTGTGTCCTCTGCTGAGGCCCCAGGACAGAAGTGCAGGGTGAAGGTGACAGGGAAGGAGGGCCCTCGGGAGGGTGGAGGGGAACAGTGCCTCATAAACAGAGTCAGAGCAGGAGAAATGGAAGGGACCTCCATCAGCCGCCCACAAAGATGCCTGTCCGTTTCAGCGTGCTCCCTCCCTCACCCTCAGGTTGTCCCCACCCGGCCCCCACCGGGAGTCTGGAACACGTCCCACCTTCTCCCTAACTTACAGCCGCCACCGCTCGTTACGGCTCCGTGTTCGGTGAGCCTTCACCTGCTGCCCACAGCCTCCCAGCGGGCGCACACGGGCCGCACTCATTACCCCACCGCCGGCCGGGTGAGAGGTGCGCCAGGAAATCAATGTCGGCAATGTTTGTTTTTCCCCTCAGCGTGTTGAAAGTTATCTGTGGGGGTGGAAGACCTTTTCCACTCAACAGATGTTTTTTAAAACACCATTTTAAACACAGGATTATTCAACATCCTTTTCATAGATGGAGGAGCAAAGAAATCATTGCCCACAGATGCACAATTGTTTGTTTACATCCGAATCTCTCATTTCCTCTATCAAGTAAGAACCAGCAAGTGTTGCTCCAGGTACAGAATGCATTTGGCTCCATTCAAGGTTTCTTGGAGCAATCCAGAGAATTCGCAGAGGAGCATTAAGAACAAGGCGAAGAGGAAGAAGAGGCTGAAGGGAAGGGAACGGGGCTCCCCACACCTCCAGCACCCGAGCCCCTGGCTGGCTGTCCTCCGCTCCGGCCACAAGGGCGATCCTCAGGGACCTTAACGCTCACGGCATGGAGACCAAACAGTCTCCTGGGATCAGCACTCGCCGTCCTCGGGCTCCCTCTTAGGCCCCAGAACCGCAGCCCCCGAAACCATCTGCAGCACAGAGACCTACCAGCCGCTGCAGGCAAAGGCCGCGGGACCCTAACACGAGCTGAGGCCCACTGCTCCCGGCAACCCTCCCGGAAAACCACAGGAGCCAGGGCTCTGCCTTCTCTCCTCTCACGATAAACCCCGGGGACCTGATAACAACTGAGGACTTGAACACGGGAATTCTTGGGGGGAAAACTCGGTTCTGACTGACATTCCCCTTCCCAGTCCGCTCCGTGACACTCTGAAGCTCCTGGCAGCCGCCTAGGGTGGTTTCCCACCATATAACTTTCCACGGAGGGCTCCCGGGGAAGGCTCCTTGCACCCATTCGAGTCCTGGATGACACCGTGAAGCAGTGCGACCCTTTTCAGGTGTGTCCGGGACAGTGTCTAGGCCTCGCCCGCACCGTAATGAAGGGCTGCTGGGATCACGGGCGGGACCGCGTCCGTCTAAACGAGGTTTGTGCGAGTTCTCCAGCAGCAGCCCACGCAAGTGCAGCCTCCAGCCTGTGTAGTTACGAAGTCCCTCATTCCGTCTCCACCCCAACCCCAGTTAAAGCCTCGGCTTGGTCGAGGCTGTGGCTGCGTTATTTACTGCTGTGGGAGGGAGCACAGCTGAGGAATCCCTTGCGCATCAGGTAGGGAGAGGCCTGCCCTCCGCGTGGGGATTGTCTACGGACCCCCGGGCCGTGTGTCCAGGCTGTGGCACAGACCACACACCAATGAGCACGAGTTTGCCCCCAGATTCAAGGGGGTTTTGCTTTCTGACCCTGCTAGCGGCTGGCGTCTACACCGCTCTGCCTTCGCCTCTTTCCCTGCTCCAGCAGTCCAAGCCGCCCTGAGTCCCTCCCCAGGAGGCTGCTTTCTCTGCCCCGGGAGCAAGCCGGTTTAGCTCGCTCATGTGTTTGGCAGGAACCCAGTCACAAAGCACTAAGCCCCCAGCACTAACTACACATACATACGCGGCAGCGAGGCCAACGAACAGCATTTGCTTCACGCGTTTCATCGACGTTGTGCAGTTCGGTCCCGGCGAGGTCAGTGTCTGAGTGCGAAAGTCTTGGGGAGATGAACCCCTGGGCTGCTGAGCAGCAGGCTCGGACCCTGAGCTCAGAGGACCCTGACGACCGTTCTGACAAAGTGAGGTATTTCAAAGGAAGAAAATACGAAACCAAAAATAGAATTTTCAAGAACAGAAGCGCTATGAAGAACGAACCGCTAGCCGGTGTGCCATGTGAGAGGAGCTGCGTGACACCGACGTGGCTCCCTATTAATAATGACCGAGAGACTGATCCCACTCAGCCCGTGATGAGGAATCTCCGGCTAACTGAGCCGCGTGCTGTCCCCCATCTGTCTAAGACCGAACATTTCGGAGGCGTGGCCGCCCTTCGTGGTGGCTGAGCACCCAGCGTCCCACGGCCTCGTGAGGGGCTTTCGCTGATCCGTCGCCCGCTTGAGTCGGGAAGAAACTTCCCAGCTCGTTCTCCGCTTTGAGCGAGGAGCCACACACACGGACCTCGCTCTTCGCTCCGAGGAAAAGCATCTCTGTAACGTCCCGATCGCGACATGGGCACCTGGGTCAGGCCCCTGCCACCAGCGGGCACGGCAGCCCGCGACGGCGAGGGACTCCCACGACTCACCACGGCCGGCTGAAAGCCTCGACTTCTTGCAGCGAAGGACCAGCTCCTGNCGGCCGGCTGAAAGCCTCGACTTCTTGCAGCGAAGGACCAGCTCCTGTCGGCAGTCGTCGGCACCGTCCACGATGGCGTGGAGCTGGTCCGGGCTGGCCGTGTACTTGAAGAACACGGGCTGGGGGCTTTCTCCATTTGAGCTTTTGACTTCGGTCAGCTGGGAGCCATTGTGCTGTACTGAGGTCCAGGTGGTGTCCTCTGGGCGGAAACAGGGTTGGGAGGGAGACAGGGACTGTGACTAGGTTGGAGCAGTTAAACATAATGTGAAAGTCGGAAGCCTCCTTTATCTGAATTAGGGTTTTAATGTTTGTAGCGATCAGGTCTCTTTGGCGTTGGAGTCAGCATAAGGGACACTGTTAAACGTTAGGAATAGGGACTCTCTTTACTGGAATTCGTGTTACCCTGAACGCAGCCAACATTGGCAGGGGGCCAGTTCTTAAATTCTGTGCTATAATATTCAAAGTTATAAATAAAACATTTTGTCCCTTAATTTATGTCTTTCCATTATAGTAAGAAGCAGCTAAATTGTTACTGTGTGTGTATACACCCTTACATCAATATACGTATCACTCTTCACTGGACTGAGTGTTTTTCCTCTGGTAATCAAAGAAATGCACAAGAGACACATGGGGTGGGGGGGGATTAGCAGCTCACGTGATCATGCAAGACGGTAGGAAGTCAGGATGTTTGACAAAAATTGATCGTGTGTCAGCATCTCATTCAGTGCCCAGCCCCAAACGAGCGCCCGCTGGAGTCGCTAATATAACCATTCCCGTCAGGAACAACACACTAATGTCTGCTGGCAAATTCTGACGTATTTCTGCTCCATTGACTACCCATATTTTTAAAAGAGATTTTAAAACAATGGATGAGCACTCCACGGTGTTTCAAACAGAAGAGGAAGATCTCCCTTTCTTCTACCTTCCCCCAAAACCTAGCTCCTCCCACAGTGTAAAAGGGCCATGGTTCAGGGGCCAAAAGGCTGGCTTCATGTGGTCCTAACCCAACTTCATTTATAACATCAAATCACATAAAACTTCCTCTGGAACACGCATCTGGTACAGACATGATCGGTCGACTTATTTCCAAATTATAGGGGCTGGAAACAGTCACATGAGGTTTGTTCTTATTACTTTTAATGGCTAAGACCTAAACAAGGTTAAAAAATCAAAACAATGTTACCAGGAACCTTCAGAGCCCTCCCTGCCCTCCCCTCCCCGTCCTGCCCCAGGAAAAACCTAACAGCCCCACAGGGGCTCACAGACCCATTGAATACAGTCAGAGATCCAGAGCAGAGAATGCCCAGGGGCCATAGCTCAAAGCCTATGAAAAACACGTCAAATATGCAAAATCCAGCAGGAACAGGAGCAGACTGTGAGTCAGCATGACTAACGCAGTCAGTCAGGGAGAGAAGGCTTCATAGATCATCCCCTCTCTCTGCTCCTTTAAGGGGCTCTGAGTGTTCCTATAGCAACTTGAATCCCACAGGTTTTTCTCCCCCTCTTTAATCATGTTTTCACCAGACATTTCATATTTCAACATTTTCCTGGAAATTTTTTTAAACGGACCTGGTGTTATTTTTTGCAATTACCTACTCACATTCCCGGTCAGGGTTTCTTCCACCAAACAAAAGGGGGTGAGAGCACCGATGGAGAAGCCAAGAGCTGGGCTTGGGGATTCATGGGTTCTAATGCCGAAGGGTCATTTATGTCCATGGTTTATGGCACAAAGAGAAACGCTCTGCCTGAGGGGCTCCCGCAGGCTGGTGGTCCGTGTGAGGGACTCATGGTCGTGCATGTTACAGTGTAATCAGAGAACTCTTTCTTGAGTGGAGAGAAGGAAAATCTTCAAAGAATCTCCAAGCCGCCTTTGGAAAAAAAGAGAAATTTCAATGCTTGTCCTTTCTAGAAGTATCACTCGCAAGGCCCCAGCGACAGCTTGCTATGTTTCCACAACGTGGCACAACGTGGGATTTTCATAGGTTTCCGACTGTAGCTGGGAAGGCACCCTGGAGAGGCAACATAATGGAAACTCTCAAGGACGAGGAGACAGACCAAGGAACTGAAGGGACCAGTGTGATGGAAAGACACTTCGCTGTTACACACCGTAGTACGGAGCACAAACGAGATCCGGGGAAATTAACTGTAATGGGGAAAATTTCAAGCAGGACTTTCGAACTATTGAATTAGGCCCCATCATATCACGTTCTCCAGCTCAGCAGAGCCTCTTGTCTGCCCACGAGCAGGAGGTCTAACCGGGGCTCCCTCCCACCGTTCGCTTGGGCAAACCAACCTATATTAATGTGACGCTTTGGTTTGGTAAGCAGGATACAAAAAAATAACACTGGCTCACCATATCATACGGCACCCCTAGTTTCTCTTTTTATTTTGCCAAATTATATCCACTTGGCAACCTGCAACACTTCGTACACTGTGGGTTGTATCTCTGAACTATACAAGGCATCTTTTAAGGGAAAGCAGGTGGTCGAATGGGGAAAAGGAAACAGATTTGTATTCTCCACGGTCGGGGAAATGTGAACCCAAGGTGGGTCTGCTATGCTTGTTTTCATCTCCCCAAGGGAAAAGAAGAAAAAAGACTTGATTGTAAAAACCCCGATGCCTGTCTAGGTGGTCAGTCTGTCCCTCACGAGATGGACATTGATCTCCAGGAAAGGGAAGGCAAGAATCCCCTTTCTGACAGATGCCTGAAATGAAGTCCAAGCTGGGTCCAACACTACCTCTTCGGAAACAACGCAAGCTGCCTGCATCTCTTCTGACGGGAAGTGGGTGCTCGAGTTCAAAGACGAGGAGGAAGGCAACATGTGAGGCGATGGGACCCGTTGCCTTCCACGTGCAGAAGAAGAACCAGTGGAGGACAGGCACTCACAGTGACACAGGACGGCAGAGGGATGGGAAGACTAGCGGGTGTCCCTGGAGTCACCAAGATGACGTGAACACTGTGTTCTGGGTGGGACAGCCCCAACCCTTCTCAGGACTCTGCAGCGTCACGATCCGGAGGAAAACACCACAGCGGGCGGCTCCCATCTGTCTCACAGCTCAATCCTGCCGCCCAGAAAATGGAAGGGAAGCCTGGGAACACCCACTCACCCAACTTCAGGAAACTGTGCCACGTCACCACGCAGTGTAGCCACCAGGCTTTCTGAGGTGCTCAAGTTCTCAAAGAGCACTGAGGCCCATGCACCTGGGTGCCTCATGCACCTGGGTCTTATCCTGGATTTCAAAGGAAAACACTCCCGGGGAAAAGAGAACCAGATCACGGGCTCTGATGGGCACCTATGTGCACACAGGGCTGGGAGGGCCAAGCAGCTGCTGTGAACATCTAGTGGGGGCCAGAGGGAGACAATCGGTGGCTCTGATCTGCCCCTGCCCTAGGCCTAGGAGGCACCGGCCCTGCGGTGTTGTCCATGTGCCAGAGCCCAGGAGGATCTTCTTGTGTTTCACCAAGGAGAGGGACGGCTCCTTGCAGCAGGCAGCCCCTGGGTCCTGGGAGAGGCCCAGAGGCCGTGCTATCTCAGCCCCACCCCTTTGGGTCCCTCCAGATCAGTATTTGCATTAGGGCCCTTATAAGGGCTGCCGTTCTTGTCACGGTTCGGAGGCCTTGAGCTTTGCATGATTCACTTTAGTATTTTCCACGCAAGACAATGCTCTGAGACACAACTAGACACCCCAAGAAGTGTAGCTACTTCACGGCCTTCTTCTCCTGGGGCTTCAGAGGGTCATCTTGTCACTTAACAGGTCATACTAAGTGTAGCTTTATGTGTCCACTCAGTCATTAGTGTGGACACCTGCTGTTTAACGTGGAGGGACACAGGGCCCCACCCCCACAACCTCCCACATGCTCAGTACCATGAAATGTCATTAGAGTCTACCCCTGCATTTCAGCCCACCACATGGCAAGAGAGCAATTTCCTCGGAGAGAACACTGTGTAGACACTTACAAAATTAGATACAGACGGAGCACTGTGTCACGGTCAATGGGAGAATACGGGCTCTAATCGGTGCTCTTGGAATCAACAAAACATTCTCTAAGTTTTCAATGCCACACTTGTTAAATGGGAGTGAACCAGGTGACATCAAAAGACTGAAAACCATGGTTCTGGCCATCTTCAAAGGCCAAGGCAGTTAACCAGGCACGATGCTGGCCCAGCCGCCATTTGAGGGCTGGATTCTCACTGCTTGTCAAGACCATCTTCCTGTCCATCCACAGGCAGGGCCGTGCTGATGAGAGCGGGAAGACGAACTTTCCCAAAACACGCATCTCTCCACTCCCTTGGGAGCAGGGACAGGACCTGGTCTGGAAGTTGTGTGTTCCCACGCACACTGGGCGCGCCTACTTTGGCGACTCCCTTTAGAAGGTGCAGGAGATCAGCCAGAATGATGTCTCCTCCGTGGGAGCAGGAAGGATTTCTTCCAGGCAAAAGCCCATAGAAAAGAGATGCAGGGTCGTGATGCGTGACCATCATCAAAGAGCAGATTTTCTCTTCTTTTTTTTTCCTTATAAATTCTAACATCTCAACATTATAGAATCTTCTGGAAGAGATGCAATTTTTGAGCAAAACTTGCCACACGTGACATGATGATGCCATGCTTACTGTCCGTCTCGGTTTTCAAGGGCAAAGCAGAGAACAACGAAATCACAACTCTTCCCAAGCAGAGAAAAATAAATTCCACAGAGGCTGTGCATGTGTTCATGAAGGAGACTCTCCAACCCACACGAAGAGCCTTTTTATTTTGTTTTATTTTATTTTTTACAAATTCCCAGCAAGTGTCCCTATCTACAGGCGTACCTCAGAGATACGCAGGCCCCGGTCCAGACCACCTGAATAACACATATACCGCAAGATGGCGAGTCAGAAGAACGTTTTGGTTTCCACTGCATGTACGGGTCACCTCTCCGCCCTCCTGGAGTCAGTATGAAGTGTGCAATGACATGGCATCTAACAAACGTACATACCTCGATCAAGAGTGCCTCTTGCTGAACGAATGCCAGCCATCATCAGCGCTCCCAGAGAGCCGCGATCTTTGCTGCTAGAGAGCCTTGCCTTGCTGTTGGCGCTGCTGACTGATCAGTGTGGTGGTGCCGAAGGTCAGGGCGGCTGTGGCCACTTCTGAAAACAAGACAACGGAGACGTCTGCAGCACGACTGACTCCTCCTCTCCTGAGTGACGTCTTTATAGCATGGGATGCCATCGGGTCGCGTTTTACCCACAGTAGAATTTCTTCCAAACTGTCAACTAAGCTGATGCAATATTCTAAACACTTTGTTCTTTCAACCACCTTCACCGGGCGTAGATCCCACCTCCAGAAACCACTTTCTCTGCTCATTCATCAGCAGCAACTCTTCATGCATTCAAGCTGTATCCGGAATCTGCAGTGGGTCCGTCCCATCCTCAGGCTCCAC